CTCTCTCTCTCTCTCTCTCTCTCTCTCTCATATACACCATGAGCATATGATATATGTCTCTGGATATTATGGGTCCCGTGCACTTCGCTTTGGTTGTCTGTTTTATGGGCTGTAAGTTATTGGTGATGAGTGTTAAAATGGTTTTGAGTTGTGAATAGCTGAGCTGATGAAGAGGAGGATAAAGGACTGAGATATGATGCTGCTGTCATGCACTTCATTGTAAGCATTGAAACAGAAGAAGGTGGACCAGTGGATATATGCACGACGGTGAGGTACAAGGATTAGGAGATGAAACAGCAGCAGCCCCAGAAGAGGAAGATGAGGGAGGCGAGGAGGCAGTCTCGGAGAGATCAACGAGCTTCTCCTTTAGAAGATGGGAGCCGATGTGGCCGAAAGGATCGTCGGAGTAGCATCTGCTAACACATGAATTCTATGCATGGGATCACAATGACGCACGTTGGCACACAGACACACTATCTCACGTAACACAGCAGTAAGTTGTGGGTAGCCACTCTCACAAACTGGAACTAATAGTGGAATATAGTTAATACAATGGATTATGGCAGAGAGAATACGTGATAGATAAGATTTTTTCAATTATAAAAGGAAATCTTTTTATTCTGTTGAGGAAAATCTTCTATTCTATTAAGGGAAATCCTTTCTCTGTATAAATAGGAGAGGGAACATGTTAATGTATTTAAGCTTCTTCACTTTTTTAATAAAGCTTCTTCAATAAAACTTCTTCAATAATTGTTTTTATCTTTTATTCTTTCCGGTCACATTTCTACATCTTCCTCATCGTGGTAGTCTTCGCTGATCTGCTTAATGTATTTAAGCTTCTTCACTTTTTCAATAAAGTTTCTTCAATAATTATTCTTATCTTCTATTATTTTCATCAATATGATGGTGACAGCTATGTTATATAAATTACTCATCTAATAATAGCTTCACCTGTTCATAGGAGTTGTAATGGTAGGCACAAGCAAGATATTGGATCTAATTCTTTAGTTAGAATAAGATTCTATCTAATATAAGTTTTTAGGTTTGAAATGTATGTTAAAAGACTAGTAAATATTATTAAGAGTGTAAAAGAATATATTTTGTCTTAATTTAAAGACTCGGAGCTTTTAGATGACTTATGGTGTTTACTAATTTAATAAGATGAATTTGTCAACCTTAAATATAAATTTCACATATTAGATTTGAGTTAATCTTAATAATCTCTATGCGAGCGGGAGTATTAAGAATATATCCTCGTAGAAAATAAAAGAAAACCCTGTGATTAATAAGTGAGGGAGTGGTAATCGATCTCTTCGTAATTAGAACTTTAATCTTAATGATATATTGCCAAAGTTATTTTTTACTACAGAAATTAACTAATGCAAAGATAATAAATGACTTGGAAATAGTGAAAAATTGGATGCATCTTTAATAAGAAAAATCAATCTAAAAATATTAAAGAAAACTATGACTAACAAAATTCAAGAATGATACATTTAGTTTGAACATATAGCTAAGAAAACTATGAGCTCGATTTTATTATATTCTCAATGTCGTTGACGAAGAGTCGGCATGACTCGGTTTTGATTTAAAAGTACAGAGTTGTCCAGGTAATCCTCGAGACGAACGGATGGGGTGGTCGTAATGGGGGACAAGGTGTCTGAGGTGGATTTGAGATGCTCTTCATGCATCCAATATGGGTTCCGATCTCCTTGGAGATTCTGCACAAAGGTTGATATGGGGAGGGACCAATGAGAGCAAGAGGGTTCAGCATAAGAGAGAAAGATCCGACCTTTTAGGTAGGCACAAAGGGCCAACTTTTATATCTAGGCAGTCCGGAGGGACCATTCATGATTATAGTATATTTTTCTTTTGTTATTTATCTATGTGGATGACTGGTTCGTATGACTCCCTACGACTTGTCATTAGCAGAGGCTAATAGAAGGGGCATAGATATGTTTAGTCACTCGGGGACCCCTACCCCCGGTGGTTGGCGAGGTCGGCTCGAGCAGCTCCTTACGACCTATCATCAGTAGAGATCGATAAAAGAGGGGCACCAATTTGTTCGACCGTTTAGGGGCCACTGTCCTTGGCAACCGCTAAGGTCGACTCGTACTGCTTGTCATGAACTATTGTCTACGATGACCGACAGATCGTTACCCTACTGCCGAGTGAGGAGATGACTTGGCCTTCAACCTCCGGGTCATTGCCCTATAGCTATTAATTTCTTTCTATCCAGACTTACCAAAACGGTTTCTTTAAGTATGTTTTGTCGAAAAAGAGTTTTGTCGAACAAATTAGAATATTAAGATACATGCATCTTTTTGGCCCTCCAACTAAAGTGAAACAATGACCCAACGTTATAATACTCGATCAAATCAACTTCATCATTAAGTCAAATCAACGATCAAATTTAGCCTTATTATTAACCAAAGACGAATCCTCCTCCCTGAGATTATAAGAGCAAAAGCACTTGCAACTCCGACAAACCTTAACATGAAAATGGACACGACACAAAATTAAGTGAAGACAAATCAGACGCTCATCGCAACCCTCGTACAGCATAAGCTCACAACTATCTCAAGCTAATGATAGTAGAAACAGTTCCTAGTGATGTTGATTCCGAGCCGAGTGGTTGATGGGCTTTGATGCATCGACTTGTTGCCACCCTTAACCTCGGAAACACCTCCTTGTGCGATCTCAAGATATCAAAGAAGATCAAGCGTTTGATGCAACCGCTTCTCAGCTTCCTCCCCATCTTTATTTTCTCTTATGGTAGTGTTGCATTGGATTAATTATAGATTATCCTACGTCTCTTTGATATCCTGATTTCTAGATTTAAAAATTTACGTTGAAATCCTTACCGTTTAGACCTCTTTATATCTTTACGCTTAAAAAATTTATATTAAAATTTTTATAATTTAATTTTATTTACTTATTCTATCGTCGTCGGTTTTATCGACGAAAGATGTAGCACGTAATAATACGTACATAAATAACATGAAAATAATTTATAAAAAAGATAATTTCAACGGTGGTGGTGGACGATGACATCGTGTGTGACTGTTGTAGTGGTGATCGACGAAAACAACACGATGGTCGTCCTTGTCAATGTCACAAATTATATAAAAATGATTAGCAAAAGGTAATTTCGATTCGATCTATATTTTTCGTCGGTAAAATCAACGAAATTAGGATAAATATGATTAAATATTTCACTTTCATAATTATAGAGATTCCAATGTAAATTTTTTAAGTCCAGAGATCATCGAGATATTAAAAAGATTTAACTATAAAAATAATTTTTTTTTAATTTAAAATTTAAAATACTAAAAAAAAATCTAACTAACTATAAGAGATAATTTATAATTAACAAAACTCGATCGACACGATTGCTACCGTGACCACGACCACAAGATGAACGGTGCCACCTTGGGACCCATGCTTTACGATGGGTGACAGACGGCACATCACAGTCGTCTGATCGTGATCTGATGGGTCATCTGACTTGGACCCACAAGACACCCTGGAGATCCATGAAGTGCCATGCTTTTTCTCAATAGAATATATATATTTTTTGTTTATAATTAAAAAATATTTGTTAGTACACCAAACAGGGGATAAGGTTTTAGAATCACGCCAAAGCCTATTTATTCTTTATGAGTTGGATGAGCAGAAGCCTAAAAAGATAGTTTCTTTATTCGAAATGATAGACTCGCAGACGTGGATCAACCTCGAACACAATCATCTTCTTTTTAATCGAGTGGGCTCTGTCAATGATGAATCCCAGAAAGTGATCATCCAGTGGTGACAAAAAGGTTGCTCGAACGTCTAGTTCTTGTGTGGGGGGATTTCATGAATAGAATCAACCTGACATTTCGATTGCCTAATTTTAAGATGTGGGCTGCTGAATGTGGTGGTGACATATAATTCCACAGAGAGAGAGCTTTGTATGCTTTGCTCGGTGGATAGGGTAATCTCTTTCGGAGGGCTCCTGTAAGAGTACAGGTTTGGTTTTGCCATCACATGGACGATGGAAAGCAGCCAAGACAACAGCAAGACTTGCTGCATCCCCGACTGGTGGGAAAGAAAGAACACAAGGAATGTGGACATTCCTCCCATCGAAAGTATTGTACACATCAGAGGCACGGGTCTGAAAGCATTCTGATGAGAGCAAAGAATCATTGGCATATCAAGGAAGCATGCAAGAGGACATCATCATCGATATTATGCCTTGAGTGGCTGCTTGAAGAAAGCACCTCATTACCTAAAGGAAGATACAACATCTCCATCATGTCCTCAACTATAAAGAGTACAAACAAAGGGTGTGCGACCAGCACTACTTTATTCTCAGACCTACGAGCACCTTTTACATTGACATTTCCTCTATATATCTGGAAATATTTACGAATAAGATTCGTATATTCACAGTGAGACCGAAGTGGAAGAACGAATCTAGCTTCGAGTTCAGGTCATGTCCTTCAGAAGCTCTTTGATACCTGAAAGCTGCTCGTCGCTCAACTGAGTCGGGAACACAATGTGGAACTTAATTCGCAGATCTCCTCGGACTCCCTTGTCGTGAGCTGAGGGCATGCCCTGGCCTTTGATGACTTTCTCATATCCCGGGTAAATGATTTCGTCCTGGAAAGTGCAGCTCATCTTTTCCCCGGTTAGAAGACGGAAAGAGAAGAACCATCCCGTGAGAGCATTCACCAGGGGAACCTCGACTTTCATGACCAAGTCATTGCCTTTCCTCTTAAAAACGGGGTGTTCTTTCTCTGATATCACGAAGATGGCATCGGCAGGGAGGCAACCTCGTCGCTCGTCCCCCATCCCTTCGAATGTTATCTTTGTTCCTTTCTTCCATCCCGGCTTGACTCTGACCATTTGTGTTTCTTCCTTGCGAACAATTAATCTACCAAAACCAAATCAGCATGCACATAAACAGTCAGCTCATGGTATTATCGTCAGAAAAAGTTAGAATCTTGAACTGACCAGAAAAGCTGCGTATGTAACTGAAAATTCAGACTACATAAAACAAATTCTTAATTGTTCCTGAGCTTTTGATGCATCTTCATTGTTGTTACAGAAGAAAAGAATCAAATACATGCCAACTTCATGTTTCCACCATCTGGACACCGAATTAACCATCCTTCAAGCTTACTCGAGCAATAGATCCGAGCCAGTTAATCAGTTGCTATAAAACTGAGAAGTTTAGCTTGCCGACGAACTCTACAGAGTGAAAGACAAATACTAGCATTTGGGACTGTACATATGCTAGACAAAATCTGATTGTTCGATAAACTAGAAGGTGCAGGTTAAAGAAGGTTTTGACAGAAAAGAACTTGCATTCTTGATGACTTTGCCAACATCAATGCCGAGCCTCACGTTGCAACTAACATCGGAATTAAGTGAATTAATCAGGCCTAAGTTGAGGTGATAACGTTTGTTTTTAAGATTCCAGTGTACATAGGCAGAGCTACTCCAAAGGGTCAATACTTAAATAAATTTTCCGATTATAAATTTACTCAAATTATGCAAATAAAGAATTAAGCCCCCAAACATTACCCTCTCTATGATGGAAGATCAAAATGGACAATCTTAAAAACCTACTCAACTTAAACAACAAGTAGCACAAGTGTGATTTTGAAGAAATCATAGCACAGTTTATATACAATTGTGTGTTCTGAAGATGGAATTTACTTGGTGATTTTTCTACAATCCAACTCATAAAATAAATAAATAGAATATCTGATCTCTGAAAGTTATACATATATGAGAAGAACATACACCAAACTCTGAGTTCTTTATCTTCTCTAGACTTGACATTGTGGAATTTTGGGTAGAAGATCAAACAGAGAAATTTCCATGGAATTGATAAAGCTAGATTGAAATAATTTAGCAGCTACGAATTGTGGCTATTCAGTATAATTTCCACTTTCCAATCTCAGTTTTAATCACTCGAGAAATAACCAAAAAGAAAATAGAAATCAAAGAGAAGGAGCGGAGGATATACCCCTTGTTGGTGATGACGTTCCTCGTGAACTTGATCTCCTTCTTGCTGCCGCGACAGAGCTCCTCCAGCGTGCACTCAAGTTTCCTCTCGACGGGAGGAGGCTTTGTCTTGACGGGACCCGAAAACGACGAGAACGCCGGCCTCGCCACCGCCGTGGCCGCCACAGTGCCGGCCTTGGTCGAACGGTACTCATCCTTAAACTCCCTCGCCGAATTGCCCGCGCACCGCGGTTTCTGGAGCTCCTGGCTCCGGTGTCGCGGCTCCACGCCGCCTCCGGGCCGATCGTTATTGGCCCCAACCATCGATCTATTCTCCTGCTGATCATTCAGGGCCTAAAGAGAACAGAATCAACGACGGCAACAACAACGAGAAGAAGGAAACGGAGTTGGAAAGAGACCGAGGGGACACCTCATAGGCTTGAGAGATGGCTTTGAACTTGGCCTCGGCTTCGGGGCGGGAAGAAGGAGGGTGCTTGTCGGGGTGCCATTTCTTGACCAGGGCTCTGTAGGCGGTGCGGATTTCCTGTGGAGAGGAGTCCTTGGCAATGTTGAGCACCTGGAAGTAGACCTCCGCGGGGTTGCCCATTGCAGGCAAATACTGGCAGCACACCAACCGAGACGGAATCCCTAATGATGGTGCGCGATCGCCATGGAAGTTGGAGGAGGTGAGTGACAAGAAGGAGTGGGAGGAGGAAAGGAGATGCTAAAGAAAGGGATGAAGGAATGACTGAGAGGATATGAGCGTTTTCTTTCTTATTAGTGTTTTATATTATTATTATTATTATTATTATTATTATTATTATATATATATATATATATATATATATATCCCCTTTCAAAGTCAATAATACTTTTTATTTATCCTTTTAAATTTAATTATAATTTATGTAAGACTGAATTATATATTTATTTTGAAAAATCAAATAAACACTTTTTAGTTAATGAATATATTACACATGTGGAGCATCTTAATATTTAGAGCCTATTATAATTTAAATGGGAAAATATGCTACTTCTAAATGTTACAATATATATATATATATATATGTTTATGTGTGTGCATCAAATTTAAACTATTGTGTTCATATTTTTTTTGTATGTTTCTTTTGTAAGAGATTATGTATATTTGGATACATATTCAAAGCTAAGAAAAGGAAGGCTTAAAATGATGTAAAATTCTGGTGAATTAAGATTGTATTCACTTTTTCAGTTGATAAAGATATTATAAAATGATATTACATAAATAAAAAAAAGGAAATGGTAGATGAAGCTTTGTCAAGCAAGTGTCTTCATCAAGACAGGATGGTGAACATGAGAGTTAATGTCATCTTTAAATGCAGGAAGACATTGTTGCTCCACTGGAGATGTGACTGAAGAACTGTGCATTGATGAGGGAGTGAAGAATAATACCTAAGAAACTTTTACTGGTGGCACAAACTTGATGTGGACTTTAATGGCTGCAGCCATATGGAGGACACTTATCAGTGCTGTGTGTGCTGGTGACAATTACATCATCCAAAAATGATTGGCCATACTGTATGGTTGAGATTCTTCTTACATCTTCTTCTTCTTCTTCTTCTTCTTCTTCATCTTCTTATTTGGTGGTGCATATTACTTGTCAGAGTTAATCCATACTTATGTTATCCTTCTTATTGATTTCAGTGTTTCAATATATTTTTCTCTTGAAGAAGATCACAAGAAGAAAATGATAGCAATTCATTAGAGTTACTAAACAAGCAATTATTCCTATCAAATCAAAAGATTTTGGGACATCAAATATTGCAGAAGAAACCAGTCACCATCCTGGATATAGTTCACCAAGTGATGAGCACCCTTCAGTGTGTGGGACACAACCCCAAAGGAATCCTTGCGCAGGAAAACAATACGGAAAGTACCTCTCAGGAGAAGTCCAAGAAATGACTGCAACCAATGTCGCACGTTAGGACACTGATTCATGACCTCACGCTGGTCAGAGCAAGAAAGGTGAAGCAGGGCCATGGAGGATGCTGTTGAGGGGTCGCTTTGGCCGACAATTATAACAAGTAAGAGATGCGAAGAAAGAAGAAGACTCTTCCTGTCGTGTACATTTCGATGAGCCTTTCCCTGTCTCCCGCAAACTCGAACTCTCAATGATGAATCAAAGCACAGCTGAGCGCCATCCTTAAACTCCGGTGGTGGATGAGCCACTCGGTGAGTGAGTCCAATCCTGAGCTGTGATGATGAGCCGAGGTTCATGCTTCTTCTTGTTTGTCTAATCCGATGAGCTCACGAGAGCTTAACATCTTGAAGATGTGGAGTTCTATCTTGCACCTGATTACAAAAGGATCCTTCTGCTTTAACATTTGAAAGCTTAGAGACGATTAAACGACAGACGATTCTCTCTTAGTGGGGAATCACCTCTCCCCCTGTTTGTACCCCAAAGATCTCAGAGACGCTGCCCTCATGAAACATGGGCCTCAAACCTTGCAAACCATCTCACAGCCACATGATTCATATCTTCTCTGGCACTTTACACATACATCAAACATATGTCTTTTGGCTCGACATGTTTAATTCCAGACATTGATGTACTAAATCATTTCATGTAGTGTCACCAAGATGTGGACCTGTGCAAGGAAGTCAGAGCAAAGCAATCAAGGCCATGAGACTCTGCAACTCTGCAAGTCTAGTTTTCCTTTTTCTTTCTTGTAAGAACTCTCATCGATCTCATCCTAATAGATCTCTCACCATTTAGATTTTTCAGATGTATCTTACGAAAGCTTATCATAATTCTAACTTACAGTACTCCAAGAAGATGATAAATCAAGTAGATTCGGAGCAGGATTTAATAGTTGTCTTGCATGAACTAAACTCTGCCGCAATAGAAGCCATCCTAATGAAGTCTTCTCAGATAGAACAGTAGCAGGTCACTGAGGTTTTAGCACCCATTGCATCCTTGACATCAGCAGTTCCAGCAACGCTAATAGAGGGAGCTGTAGCAGTCAAACCGGTCGGACAGCCACCAATGAATTTGTTCATCAATGCCCATTATTATCTGTTCACGAGTGTTGGCCTTTTGCCTTCTCGGCCTTTAATGTCATGCATCCAATGCAAGCGCAGTCGCCTTCAGCATCAATGGAGATCACAAGAGAGTTTACTCTTCTTCTTGTTTACCGAATGATTGGTGATTAAGAGAAGATTTCTCTTATTTCGGATGGAAAGTGAGACAGGTTTTCGATCGAATTTTACCATACCAACAATACTATAGCTTGATTCAGGAACAGTGTGTAGGCCTGAATGGGATTCTGTGCTAAGATTTGCCATCATAATAGCAGATCCATCAAACATGCATTCATTGCTAATGAGATTTCAGCAGAAGAACATGGTGATGGGATCGGGGCAGGTGAGGTTGAGGTCAGTGCCATTATGCTTTACATGTGTGAGCATCACTACAGCAGAAAGAAGGAGAGGCTCATTCTTTTGGGAGAGAGGATGAAGGGGATGTGAATTAGGCCAACAGCCAGAAGTCCTTCTGCCACCGAGTGCTGATCAAGTAGCCACCCACTCCCTTCCTCTGCTTCCTCACTGCCAGCGTGAGACACTCAGCTTTGTTGATGCACTGCTCCACGAACTCCTCACTTCTGCATCTGAACAGGCTACATTCCCACGAGCAAGAAAGAGGAGAAGATAACTACACTCAGAGTAAACAACGTACTCTAATGCAGAGAGAGAGCTACGCTTACCAAGAGAAAGGGGAAGGCTTGGCTTGACCCAACACCAGAACAGAAGCCTCCAGTTTCCTGACTTGGCTTAGCACAGTTGCCAACTTGGGTCCCTGAATCACCAGTGCTTCCACCTCCACCTTCTCATCAGATTTCAAGTAAATGATATCAGTCAAAAAGTTGTTCTCTATCTGATCTTTACCTTTATACATCACATAAAATGGACAAAGTTACTATGCCCACAGAAATGGAAGAAGATGACAACATCAAGGCAGGGAAAGATGAGCAGTAACACCTCAGGCTTGCAAGCTTTGCACACGGCTTGCAGGGTTGCAAGGTTGGGTACATCATCCTCTCCTCCACCACTGTGAGGGACAACATGGAGAAGGGCGAGGCGATCCCCCTTGTTAGCCACATGGGTCAGTGCCCACATCATGGCATGCTTGGCCCTCGAACTCTGATCGATCACCACCATGACCCTCTTCTTGGCCACCATCCCACCACCGGTCTCCCCCCACCACCCCATGGCTTCCTCCCTCTCCTTTTGGCATCTCCTCCTTCCCCACCTCCTTGAGCCCCTCGAGGACTTGGAGAAGGAGGAGTTCCATCCCTCACTTCCACCAACCTCCATCACTTCCTCGACTCTCCTCTTGCTGTCAGTACTGATACTCGTAGTTGGAAGGCTTTTGGTGCAGTGGTTTAAGTATAGGAGGGTCGGAAATGGACAAAAGGCAGCAAAGGAGAGATGGTTTAGTTTTATTGGACTTTCCAGCTCTGCCTTATCTTTACAGTGAAGAAGAAGATGGGTGATCAGTATTATTACATTAGCACTTTGGAAGAATAACTCATCAACACATACCAATCCTCCACCCAAGCAGACATTACATTGCAAGCTTCCAAAGGAAGCAGGTGGGATGGAGAAATGATTTGAAGCAAATATTTGAAACAAAGCTTTATATTTGATTATATAATGACATCTAATAGACACATTTTAATAAAATTACAATCAGGAACAAAATATTATGATTACAACATTCTAGTCCTCCAGACATTACTACAACATCACCAATTACTGATTCTTTATGCTTTCTCAAACCAAAACAACCACACTTTACTATTTCTTTATCATCACTTCACAATATCATTAGTTTGTGTGTGTGTGTGTGTGTGTGAGAGAGAGAGAGAGAGAGAGAGAGAGAGAGAGAGAGAGAGCATGTTTCCAATCTTACAGCATTCAAGTTTGTGCCAAAATGAGACATCTTTTTGTGACAAGATACACAACTTAGTGAATGAAATGCAAGTAACTGAAGAAAAAAGTTTTTGACTTGTCTGAGTAAATGTAGAACAGAAATTTAAGTTTTACCATTAAGAGTAGAAAAATGACTAATAGGGATTATCGGCAACAATTTACTAAGCAGACAAGATGTAGCCGTAACAACAGTTGATAAACTACAGAAAGTCCATAACATATCTATTTTACACGGATCAAGATAACCAGTAAAGAACCACAATATCTCATACTGGCAGAGCCTCACAACAATGGTTTCATGGGTTATTATAAACTGCAAGATTAACGCAATAACAGATTACAGAATCCTCATTTTCGACCCATTCTGTACACAAACAATGATAGAATCTAGCTATCTCCTGGGGCCATGACAGTTGAATCATAGAACTCAAAATCACCATGTAGAGCACAGGAACCATCATACTGTTGCAGTATGTGAACCAAATTATTGTTGTAGTATGATAACTGCCATTAATGCTGGCAACACATGCAATTAAGAACACATTGATCTTTAGCTTGTAGCCGTATCTGGTTTAAGACCTCATTGCAAAAAAGTTGACACAGATCAACATCCTGGTAGAGATTGCGCCGAGGCTAATGCTGACAGACTTGCCCCTGATTCAGTGCAATGTCTTAAGTATGACTGTTGACTGGAAGATGCCGCAAGATAGCTGGAGGACACATTACTTGAACATGGAATATAAGAGGATCCAAGTATTGAATTGATAGATGGTGATCTGGGAAAGCCCAAGGAGTGAGAAGATAGAAGATAAGCATGAGATCTCTGAGACGAAGCATTTCTAAGGTCAAGAGAACTTCTACTTGTCCTAAAAGCTGGTGAGTGGCCATAAGACCTATGTGGGTTAGGGATATGTGCAGTATAGTATGCACTTGATTGTGAGTGGGGAGTCATTGGAGCTATTTGAATAGCTGGGGAACAAGCACCAGACAACAAATGTGGTTGGGAGTTTGATTCTGGCCCGGAAGCCACTGGAAATATTTGGAGGGCTGGGGATGCTGCCATGGATGAACGAAATGATGACAATCCCACATTGGAAGATACGGTCACCTCACCAGAAGAAAGTAGAGGAGTGCTCTCGGAAGCTGGAAGATTAGATCTGCCTGCTCTAGCATCTTGCTTGCAAACAGGGCAGAATGTTCTCCAAGTGGTAAGCCAGAAATCGACGCAAAATGCATGAAACTCTGTTCAATAATTTAACAAACCATATTAGCATGGAAGACTTAGACTTATATATACAAGTTATAATGATCGAGAAAAGAAATGGTTGAACATACTATAGAAACAGTTATAAATCATATCCAACCACAAAGACACAATATAACATCCTATTACATTATTGATGCATCCTTGACATATGAAAGGTGAAAAAAAAGTTCTGTAACACATCCCTCAATTAGATAGTGGTTTTACGCCTTTGTTTAATTCACTGATAATCTAGTCACCATAAATATACTACAGTTATACCTTAAGAAGACAATAAAGAGACACAACGCACAAATTGGAATATTAAGGAATAAGCAACAACTGAATCTACACACGTATTGTTAACAATTGACATGTACCTTATATTGATGATATAAATATCCATCATATATGCAATATGTCAGTGTAAATGTCAATAGTACAAAGTGTTATACCATAAGCTTAAGTACTTAAGATGTATCAGAAAGAATACCAATCTTGATTCTTGAGGTGTTTGACACATACACAACAGACATTTTGAAGTATCCATGCTTTATAAATGCTGCAAAATTTTGAATGGTACAAAAGATCATGAAGATAAAATTTAGTATTTAACAAGTACCTTTCAAAAAGAGGATGCAGACACATTTTATTTGAAAACATCTAAGTCATCATAATCAAAGAAAAGAATTTAATGTATGCAGTTCATTAAGAGTCCACATAACTTAGCAAAGTGTTGAAGAAAATAGCACTAAAGATTGACGTAGGCAACCAGAATAAAATAGGCCCTTTGCTTGCTATTATTATAAATAAGAAACTCTGGTGATTTAAACGGTGACCAAGATACTCACTGTGATGACATGGCAATATCCTAAGCTTCTCCCCAACACTATAGTCTTCCAAGCAAATTGCACAAGTTGTTGCAGTGCAATTATCTTCCACAACTGAGGTGAATATGAGACTTGGCATTGCTTTCACCAATTGGCTGCTCATTCCATGGAATTCTCGGATGTTAGGAGCTCTAGTCTGTTCAGGCCTGCCAAAGTGTCTGCGTATGAAAAAGCATGTAGCAAGCACAGCAGAGATGACGAGGAGTGCTATGAAGGAGATGACCATAATTGGCCATGCTGAATTCTCAAAGGTGGGTATAATCCACAACTCCAAATCAGTATTGCCAGCATATTTCATTAGCATTTCACCAGAAGCCTTGGAAACAAACACAGCGTATATATATATGCCAATTGAACTTCCTGCCACTGCAATATATTTATTGATATATGGATCAGTAGAAATCAAACTATTAGGAATTTGACAATAATGTCCAACAAATCAGGTTCTGGCACTGCTTCCAAGAAGGAACAAGTATTCATATATCAGAAAATGACATAGCACAAGAGGCTGACACAATTTGGGAGTTGCAGGGAGAACTAAGAAGGAAATAGGGAACTGACACCAAAACTTCTCTAATGCAGGAATAGGAAAATGTAGTAGATAGAACAATCTCACAATGTATGTGTAAGAATTTGTTAAGAATATAGGTAAAATTTTGAAACTACATTTATTATAGATTCCTCCTAGAGGACAGACAAAACCTTAAGGTTTGCTAAGCAGTGGCTTCTTTTTCCTAGTGGTGTACCCATTAAGACCGCCGATGAAGAAACCATTACAGGGAGTTTGCTTCTTTCTTTGTCCTACTTTTGCCCTTTCCACAAAATACCTATTTTTGCTAACATGCAGACTTTGAAGATCCAGAATAAAGCAGTTGATCACAAATGGTAACCATCAAGGGAAACTATGGTTGGTTGCAAAGAATGGAAATGATGGAAGTGAAAGATGTCACAATATTTTTGTGTACCACAAAGAATAAACTGCATCTTGAACAAAGCTGGCCAGACAGTAAAGAGAAAGTACTTGTTTGATTTTAATCAAATGATTATTGCAATGAATGGATGTAGATTCTCGAACAAACCAACATATTAGTTCAACTAGACCTGCGATCTCTTGGAGTTGGAGGTAACTAACTTAATTTTATTAATGTTTGTTTGTTAATCACTAAGGTTGCTAATCAACATCAAATTACTTAAACAGTTGTTCTATCTTGTAACGGAAGTTACTTGGTATTTACTATTAGTAGCTGCATGATCATATCATGAAATGGTGTGATCATATATGATTATGCCTATTCCTAGGTGTTTATATTACTTATGTTGGTGCATTACAAAGCAGAAGCATAGAAACCTACTTACCACTTCAGAGTGATTGTTTCCAAACAAGCTCCATTCATACTATGTTGAAGTCATGCTTCCTCAAAACTGATATATTTGTGATAAAATGCTTAGAATAATGTCTTGTTACATGGGTTATGATTGCAAAAAGGAGTGCAAAGTCTTTATAGAATGCATTAAATATGTAAATTTCTTTATAGAACACTTTAAACCATAGAATTCTTAATGATTTTTAATACATTTTGAATCATAAAATGTTCACGTCATAAAATATAACAGCTAATGCTAAAGCAGTTGATAAACCAAAAAAAGGGACCTTACTTGAAATCAGGGTTCCTCTATCTTCATTGTCGTATACAATTGCAGCTTTGAACCCAGCATTTTGTGCATTTATGACTTTAACATCAAATGTACATCCTCCTCTTATAATTAGTGCAAATGGAGAATCTAAACCTTTAGCAACTTCATTAGTTAATGGAGCACATGCATCTAAAGGTTCTGCAACATATAATACCCCACATTCACCAGATCCTTTTACTGATGGAGCTGAACATACAAACAAAATCAATTTAGTGGTAACTACATATGAGAAAAAAATAAAAGAGATGTAATGTTCAATGGTAAGGTTGTTGTGATTCTTCGACCTTAATTGGGAACAAGAATATCGTAAGGAACCAAGATATTCTTAACTAACAAAATGACAGAATCAACATAAGCGATAAGTTGTAAGAATTACAAAAATATAAGTACTATCATGGGTCACATGTATCATATTACCAAGATAACAATACCAGTTGAAACAATACTAACAAGGAGAACATATAAACCACATATATAATCATATTGTCATGTTTGCCAGAGCACATGTGCAGTGAATTTCACATGGACACTAACACCAAATATTGGTGATATAAGTGACATGGCTGCCTTGCACAGGGCAGTCATATGATTGGACATGCATATACATCCACATATATGGTCAGCTCGACCATATATTAAAACACTGATTAGCCACATGTTTCCTTCTACTTTGAAATAAGGTGGTTAACATAACTGCGATGAAGAAGAAGAAAGAAGGAAATAAAAAAATTCAATTCTGGATTTATGGATCTCAACGTCACATTGTACCCAATAAGTCATCGAGCCTATCAAGGAGTTATAATCCTTTAATAGGTGAGCCCTTGAGACAATTCTTACTGCTTTAAATTAAAGTATTGTCATCATTCTTTACCAAATATGGCACCTCTGTATGTGATATCCCTCCTTAATGATGCATTGTTGAACCATGGATCTAACATTCATCAATAAGAGTCTTCTACCTTGACAAAAATCCTTTTTAGATTTCATCATAAACTCCTTAAGTTTTAATATTTTGGCCGAAAAACCGGAAAAATATCAAGCCAAGAACATTTATCTCTTCACAGCTGAAAAAAAGCTCCTCTTGGTTTCCTATACATCTACGCGAATTTCTTCTCTTAACAATAACATATACTTTGCAGCATAAAATGTTCATGATTTTATCAATCAATCTTCCTAAAAAGAAAAAAATTACAATGCATTACTTAATCTTATTGTAACTTTCAAATAACCAGCATCAGTTACATATTCCCTTGTGCGTTTTGTTTAGAATAAAATTCCAAGTATATCGATCTAATAAAATTCCTCAGATACAACTAAATCTGGTAAAACCCTTAGTCTGATCTGAATTATTCAACTTCATACTCCAACCAATCTTCTTTAGCTTTCTTATCAAGATAATATAGCCAGCACAACGTCAGACAACAAAAGGCTTAATTTTCCACCTGTTTAGTTTTAACATGTTGGTCTAAGATTATATTTTTTGCAGTCCTAGAATCAAATTGAAGTTCACCTCATGTATACACAGAACGTTCTATAATGACATGATGAGTATTTTGCAAACCACCAGAACGTACAAGAAAATTGAAGTTTCCATGGAAACCACATGAAATCTACAATACAACTATATGATGCTACCTGCAGACTCAAAACAACAGGGGGAGAAGATAGGGGATGAAGCACTCACCAAAGGTGGCCTCGATGTCCGGAAACGACAAGGATACATTTCTCCCAATCAGCACTACGTCACCACCCGCCGAACCAACCAACAGATCAAGCAGAAGGAAAGCAAATAAAGCAAACTTCCCCACAACCTCATACTTCAACACCCCCATCTCCCAGAACTCGCTTCCAGAAACACCACACCGTCTAGCTACTTCCAAATCCCAATCTTTTTCTATGTTCTTCCTCTTCTCAACCTGCAACAGCCCACACCTAATCCAAATCCGGGAACTCTGAGGGTAATGCACGCGAGTCAAAAACTTAAACGACCAAAGGCGGAGTTTCCGCGACCAAAACGGAAAATAGGACAATCAGAATCTAATATTTCGCGGAAAGAAAGATCTTTCTCAAAATCGAGGAGAAAAAAGGGGAGAACTGGAGCTCTGGGCGGTAGAAAAGGATCGGAAGAAGATCAGCAGAGACATCCGAACGAGCACAGGAGCAGTGTGGAGCGGAAGAATCGAGACATCGGATTCCATGATAAGGGCGAGAAATCGGAGGGGGGAGGGCGCCGGAGCAGGTAAGGAAGGAAGTGGAGCATCGAGCTTCGATCTCCACGAGCGGTGGAACCTATCAATACCTCCCCAGGCGCCCCTAGAATCCTCTAATTATGCCCTTTCTTTTAACCTTTTTACGATTTCTTGTAATTTCCCAAATTTATCGCCACAAAGAAATCCATTATCTGGAAAAAAGGTTAATATCTTATAAACATGTGACCACAATAATTAGCTATCTAAAATAAAATTATATTAAAAATCTTTATCTTTGAAAATTCTCTGCAGGCTCCAAATTAAATAATATTAAATTGATTAAATAATTTTATTTTTAAATAATTATTTCATCTCTAATTTTTATAAACAAATAAAAAATTAGATTTTTATCATTAATACATAATTAATAAAAATAAAATAATGATATAAAGATTTAAGAAAACAAAGTATTTTAAGTGAATAAAATTAATTATTTTTTTATCAATTTTAATCTTAATTAAAATATGCAAATTTAATCGCCATTCAAATCACCAATCATATCGCGACGTTACGTCGCGGACGGAAACGGGTTTTGTCCGCCCGAAGGCGGCGAGTCGATGTATCATGCGGACTGGGGTCCACCGATTCCCATCGAACGTATGACGTCGTCTCTGCGGGACCCGCGTCATTGACGAGACTCCATCAGTTCTGCATGCTCCACGTGGATCATATGATTCTCGCAGCCTCTGATAAGGAGGAGGAGAAAGTAGCAAGAACTCGAATTGCCGACTTCCTTCATCCTCTCTCTCTCTCTCTCTCTCTCAAAGTAGCAAGAACTCGAATTGCCGACTTCCTTCATCTCTCTCTCTCTCTCTCTCTCTCTCTCTCTCTCTCTCTCTCTCTCGTGTGTGTACAAGGAAACTTCCGTGCCACAGAGGTTTAGATTTGTCTTCGTTCTTCTTATCTTATCTTCTGAGGAGTAGGACAAAGCCGGAAGAGGAGTCAGAGACTGCATCTATCTCTATCTTGTATCGACGGAGAGAGAGGAGAGAGAAATAGTTGTCTCTTTTGGATTTGTGCACGGTTCTGATGGCATGGCGACGGTAAGCTTTGTAGCCTTGTTCGAAATTTTAGGAACTGATCCGAATGGACTCCATTTTACTTTGGTCATGTCCTTTTAGTGCAAATGCCTTCCCATATGAGTTTTCATTGTAAAGGGAGTCTTTTTCTACGTTAAATCTAATAAATCTATTGTTATAATACATCCATACTCGAAGGAAGCATCGATGTTGGCATGATATCATCACTCGATAGATAATAGAAAGAGACTATCTTAATTACTTATCCGGTAATCTCTATTCTCAGAATCTCTTAAAGACTCGAAATGTGTGACAACAAAACAAACATGAGTTTATAGATCTTTTCTCATTTTTCTTTAATTTTTATTTTATCATTCATAACGATCCTACGAAGAATAAAAAGAGAGTCTAATTCGCTTGTAGATTGATGTTGTTACATTTTTATAGTTTGAATTATGAAGCATATTCTTATATTAAATAAATATTTTTTGAATGACATCGAAAGATATACACATCTAATTTTTAATTTTATGATTATTTAATATCAATTCTTAACATTAATTTTTTATATAATAATTTTTTTAATACTTAAGACAATAATTAGAGTTAATTATTACTTTTACATATGATTCTCACGCGATCAAATCACAAACCTTCGGACTATTCTTACTTTTATTTTCTAATACATTTGTTTGACTTCATGTTTTTCATGATTTTTATATCTTTTTCTAGCTTTTGAATGAGTTCGAATATTTATCCGTTTTAAATGAGTTCGAATGACTTTATTCCTGAACATTTATGAGGATAAAAGATTATTTTGATTTCTTGATTCTCCTTATCAAAATCAAATTTTAATGGTAAATATACAAGAATATATAATAATAATAATAATAAAATTAGAAATAGATCATTTAGTTTTATAAGATTTAGTGTAGTAGATATATTTATTCAAATATTAGGATCCTTCACCTATATTCCTATGCTCGGAAAGTAACACATAAATTATTATAACTATATAGAAAATAAAAAAAGTTATAAAATTATTTTAAAGAAAAGTTTGAATGGTATAAGTGTCGATTGGAGTTTCAACATGTTGACTAAAACAGTCAACGAATGAATTCCACCGGATGATAGATGGGACATCACAATTTTGCCAAATACCTATTACATATCAACCTTAAAAGTACAATCACAACCACAACCTGATGTCCAATTATTTGGGTTTAATCATATGAATCTTTTTCGCAAATGCACATAATTAAATAAACAGGAATTATTTTATTATTTATAATAAATTTTAGATATTTTACTAAACAATTAAATATTATAAAAATTCCAAAGAATAGAAAAAGTTATACTAATGATCTTAAAATTAGTCCCAAACATGATTAGTTGATTTTTTTGCTATTTTATGATGATTAATTACTAAATTAATTTTTTTTAATAACATAAGTAAAAATACAAAGACATTTTTGTTCAAGTATAAAAAAAGGATTTTTTCCCTATAAAATATCCATAAAATTTTCTTTTCTCCTTTTCAACACTGTTTTATATTTTTTGTAATTCTAAAAACTAAAATGAAGATTATACATCAATTTATATTTTTATTGAAAGGAAAAGGAATATAATATGATATGATTCCTTTCTTTGGATACTTTCTTCCATTGTTTGCCTCCCCATTCGATCTCTTCTCTCTCACGCCCCTTTTTGGTCTTCTGCCGTTCGCTCGCACACTGAAAGGTCAGCGCCTCTCTCTCTCTTTTGTTCTTCCTTCAGAAGTAATTCGGTCAAAATCGGTTTTTTGGTACGTATTAGATCGAAAGGTTTTGTCTTGTTGACGATTTCCGAAAAGAGTTGTTAGTTTGGCTGAGTGTCATCTCCGCCTTTTCGTGTAGGTTCTCTTTCTTTTCCTTTCTCCTCCTCCTCCAACAGATGTAGAATTCATTTGAGATTCCTTGTGTCTGGATCGGCTTTCTCTTCGTCATTTTTTGTTATGATGGTTGATCTTTTTCTTTCGCGAGATTGTGTGATCGGTCTGTTATGAGATCTTGATGATTGATGTGATGATCAAGTTGAGAACTTTGTAGCCTGGGATTGGATGCTTCCCAATTGAATGCAGAAAGAAAGATGAGTATCGGGTGAAATCTCGATGCCTTGGACTTGTGCATGGTACCGGATAATTCAATTCGTTGGAAAACATAATAAGATATACCGTATGGCTTAGAATGGTTGTAGGAAAAGGTGGATATTATTTATATAATTGGGCAAAGAAAGAGATTTCAGTTTTATATAGATGTATATGGGTCTTTTTGTTGAAGGAAGATATTTGAATCTGATTGAATCTTTTCATTTTCATTATTTAACTGTGATGCTAAAACTACAGAACATGAAAAACTGTGAAACAACCTAAATCGTCTTAATGTTTTAGTAGTTACCTAATTATGGTGCAAAATTATGCTTGAGATAAAGCTTTAAAGTATTCTAAACATTTTTTTTTTGTTTTAACAGGGGATTTGGGAAAAAAAAAACACTTAAGCTACTTAGTTATTTATTCAACAAAATTGTGCCTGTTGCTGTCAATTTTTTCTGATTTTATCACAATGCATGTTCAATAAAGACTAACAGTACACTGATAACATGTTTACTTGTTGTGGTTTCCTTTTCGATGGAAGAACTACATATCAGTAACAGACGGTGCCACCAATGACATTTTTTCATGTATCGTTGACTTTGAAAGAGTATCCACAAAGTTTTGTCAGCTATGAAAACCTATTATCATCGTATGTAAAAAGGTTGAAATGCTTGCTTTGATGTTCAATGGTCAAACATCATCAAGGTTTCTCTCTGCTTTCCCTTTGATGCATTTTGGAAGTACCAAATATCATTCTTAACAATACTGTTGCAAATTTGAATGTTTTGCATTTTTCAGCATTTTAACTGCCTGGGTGTATCATGAATTTAGAAATTTTCTATAATTTTCTTTTCATGGAGATGGAACCTATTGATTGATGGGTTTTAATCTTACTGTGGTTATTCATATTCTAGCTTTCAATTTTGCATTCTTTTTTAGTTGTAGCAGATGTGCCTTTCATTGATATTATGTCAAGACACCGAACTACTTGACTGTTTAGGATGCCATATAAAAAATTTGTTTGGATGCAGCTTGATCTCTACCATGTGGGTGGAAATTTCAGAGTTGACAAGTTTTGCCTTGGTCATTTATTATTTACTTCATGGGTTAATTTTATTTTTCAAGCTGGTTAACCTTTCCGTTAGTAGGATTTTAGAGTGATTTATTCACTTTTTTTTGGAGATTTCTAAAAGCCCTTTTTGCCTATAATTATCCAGAATTCCAGATTACCTCTCAGTAAATAATGGTCATCTGATATTTGTTCTATTTCTCTTCACAGGGATTCTCAGTCAATCCCTGAATGAACTTTTTGTCTACTCTATTCTGATCTTACAAAACATGTGGGATTAATATTACAGTAACATGGAAATGAGTGATTTTGATTCTCATTTTTTTCGTTTTAACTCGTATTTAGTTCACCCCAACCTTTTTTAGATTTAAAAGAAGATCATTACAGTACCCCAAGATAACCTGGTTTTTCAAAAGAAAATAGCAACAGAAATAATAAAATTATGATCACTTCTGTTACTTATGGCCTGACAAAAAATGGAGGCTCATGGTGAGATAATGAAATTTCCTGAATATAATTCAGGTTTAGTACGTTCAGATAGAAACATTACAAAATAGAAAATAGCACTCTATAATCAAAGAGGACCAATAACATCGAGGGTTAAAAAGGAGAGAAAACATGGATAGAAGAGGTTTCACCCCGAACATAGTGTTCATAGTAGAATTATCACAGAAATTTTTTATGTTCACGACCTGAACTCACTCATCCCCTTCAACCAAAAGAAAATGAAGAAGGAAAAAACCAAAGATAATTATTAGGTCCCATCTTGTAAGCAAATGGTCTATTTTTCCTCCCCTTGAGTTCAATCATATAAATAAATATATTCATTTCTGAACTTTTTAAACACCATTGATCATCTTCAATGGAGTCAAATTTCAAATTTAAAGCCTCCATGTTTAGATTTCAGGTGATAGAATTGAGGCCTCAAACTTCTTCAAAGGATTTTATTTCAATTTCTTTCTTTTCGAGAAGTCAGTTTAAGATCTTCTATTTAGAAAATTTTGGGGTAAATTGAAGAAAACTTGAGACAGAAAGGAGATTCATTGTAAATTATGGTAACTGGTACTTAGTTGGATTGAGGAAGTTATTTAAGCATCATATTCTTAAGCAATATGAATATTTTATATGCTTCTTCATAATAAGCTCAGGTGACGACTTAGTTTCAAACAGTCTGCCAGATACTTTTAAAACTGTGTTATATACCTAAAAGAAAAAAAAGGTGCACTTTGAGTGGCTTATATTGGTAATTCCTTAATTTTCTTCAAATGCATATGTTCAGTAGTTAGGTGCCAACAAAAAGGTAAAATATCTGAATGAAAAAATCATTTAAATTTTTAGTAATTGTTTAATAGTTTTCTTTCAGAATATGTCTTCTATGTTATAGTTACATATACTGTTAGTTCTAAATTGTGAAGGTTATTTTCCCCAAGAATAAATTCTTGGCTTCACCACTGTCAGATCTCGTGATAACTTTACCATTAGCTGCACACATCGTTGACTGTGTTATGAATCCTTCTTGTTTTTGTTACTTGTTTTAGATAAACAAGTCTCTGAATAGACACATAAGAAAAAACTTTGCAAATATCACGGTAATCACTTTGCCTGACAATTGCCTGAATATATACCAGAAAGTGGAGTTATTTTTTGTTACCATTTACTCATTATTTCATCTCTATGTAGATGGATATTGACAATTGTCCTATGTATTCCAGTTGCTGCTGTTCTCATCTGTATCCCAGCAATGAGTTTATCATGTCTTGTTTGTCATAGCATGGATAGCCGATCACGATCTTTTAGGAGTTACTCTGTTTCAAGTTCAGAAGACGAGGGGCGATGTTCTGCAGTTGTTACCTGCTTGACTCGGAAGGTCGCCGTTGCTACCGCTGGTACAGCTAATGCCATTTCGACGGCCAAAGTGACACCATTCCCCATGATGGCAAGTGGTCAAGGTATGACAGGAACTCCGCGCCTTTTGCGAAGCCGAGCTGTGAGTAGGGACTTGGTTAGAGACTGGAATTTTGATCAAGTTCATGTGGAGGGCTAGCGGTGTAAGAAGAGCTTAAGAGTTACCTCTAAAAGGAGATATTGTTAGTTTTGTAACTACTTTAAGTGGTTTTCTCAACTAGATTTCTTGTACTTACGGTTAGCTGTTGTGAATCCATGATACATATTGGACATTTTGGAACATTGCCGTCTTAAATATTTTGAACATGTCACCGGTTTTCTTTGTTTCTATCGTGAATTGTGATGATTTGATGCATATATCAATAAAAATAAAAAGAGATACATCCATCAGTGGAGTGTTCATGTTGATGTGTTGGTTGTTCTTTTCCCAACATATAAACATTAACAGAACAGGATGCTATATATTTCCCTGTTGTGTTTGATTATTTATGCAGTCCCCCCATAAAACATGTTTGTCAGGTTTCATGATCATGGTTATCCTTATCCCATCCTTAATTGAATCACTTTAAGACAATGACATTAATCAACTTTTCAGAAGGATTGCTGCTGATGGCTTAATGATCATGAAGATTCAGAAGGATTGAATGAATGAATGAATGATCCTTCTCTAAAAGATTGGACGAATGAATCCTTGATTTCTATACTTGGAATCAAATTTATATATTACATCAAACAAAACAATACTAATTTGATTTCAAAAATAAATATAAAACTAATGAATACATCGATGATCAACTATTCATGCTCAGAACGAGCATCTTGACGCAATAAATTTTGATGCCCTCCTTAGAACTGTGTCACGCGGGTACTGTTCCCTATTAAATGGCCTAAACAATTGGGTCCGCCCAACTTAGCTTTCCATCGACATGCTTCGAGCTCACGACGAGCTCATCAATGGCGTCCCAATAGATCAATTAGCTGAGTTGTGTGAGACACAGCCCCACATGCACGCAATAGGAAGGCCAGCAAATGCACGCAACTTGTGCCTTCTTTTGCTCTCTACCTCTGTCTTCACTTGTCCATTCTTTACAAAGCACATGATTTGCATTATATTATCAAGGATTAAAGTGCTCCTTGTGTTCTTGTTGTCAAGGAGAGGTAGCATCCAATCTGGAGTTTGGCAGCTCTTTAAACTAAGAGAAGACTTAGCTGTGCCCTCATACTGACATGTGGTGGGTGATTGGATAATTACATTAAAATTATCCTATTAATGTAAATAAATAATTAGTTAAGGAGTTAATATGATTATTATTTTCGATCAATAATTCATTCGCTTATTGAACATATAATATCATGTCAGTTTTTAGAGATAAGTATTATACATTGTTAAATCAATTATTATAAGATCGGTACCATATAAATCAATCTTTTCAATTATTTCTTTGTTCTAAAATCAATAAATTAAAATTACATCCATTACAAGCTTTTCTATGTCAACAACAAACTTATGAATGCTAACTATATTTCTCCCTTATCAATCAGTTCATTAATTATCCATTTTATGTAATATTTTTATGATGTTAGTATTTTGTTATCCTAAAATTCATTGAAATAGAGTATTCAAATTAGATAATGGAAACTAATATTAATATTAAAAAAAATTACAAAATAATCATAAGATACTAAATATAAAATTATAGAGAAAAAAAAATAAATATATGTCAAATATTTGCCTAATATAATATCCTGGGATCAATTGAGATTTTCGTCTCAAGACACAATAAAAGATTTACTCATCCTATATACATAAATAACAAAAAAAACTCGATAAAATTGAGATTCTCATCTCAAGACACAATAAAAGATTTACTCATCCTATATACATAAATAACAAAAAAAACTCGATAAAATTGAGATTCTCGTCTCAAGACACAATAAGATTTACTCATCCTATATATATAAATAACAAAAAAAATTCAATAAAATTGATATTCTCGTCTCAAGACGCAATAAGATTTATTCATCCTATATACATAAATAATAAAAAAACTCAATAAAATTGATATTCTCGTCTCAAGACACAATAAGATTTATTCATCCTATATACATAAATAATAATAATAACTTAATAAAATTGAGATTCTCGTCTCAAGACACAATAAAAGATTTACTCATCCTATATACATAAATAACAAAAAAACCTCAATAAAACTGAGATTCTCGTCTCAAGACACAATAAGATTTACTCATCATATATACATAAATAACAAAAAAAACTCGATAAAATCAAATTTAAAACAAGCCGAAATACCATGCCCTACTTTTATGACCTAAATGAAACAGTGCACAAGCCACACTCCAATGGTTCTATCCATCATTAAAATCAAATCCCACTTGATGTCTCAACTTTTAACTATATTTAAAGGTAAGTAGATAAATTAGAAAGGGTTAGATAACACTTCTTAACAATCATTTTATTCCATCTTTCCTATAAATATTTTTAGAGATGTCATGCAATAATGTCATTTGCCTTCCCCTTCTATTAAAGAATAATACAATGGTTGTGGGTTGTCTTCTATTTATTTCGGCATCACCGTTCAACTCACTCATTTATTTCTCAAATAATGGCAAAGAATGCCAAAGTGAATGTGGCCTTTATGTTAGCTTCATATACAGTACAGAAGGCCAAAGTGGTTGGAGAATTCATTGTGGCATGATGTGAAGAATGAAGACATGCCAAAGCCAATATCTTGTGGATGAGAAGTACCCAACTTTAAGCATGCGATAAAGGCATTCTTTATTTTCTTTGGCATGAGATCGAGTGATCATGCACGATTTTTGGTGCAGTGGAGATCTTTGTGTGATGGATTATCAATTTAGGTTTTCATTTGTAGTATAAGCTTCAAATTTGTTTTCTTGATCTTTGATTCACTTGTTTCTTATTTTTTTTTATCAAATAAGTTAAATATCAATTCCAGTTCTAATGCTAACCTCCTCTATCACATCATCGTAATCACGACTCTATTGACTTTTGCCCCCTTCGCGATTTACTGTTATAGGAGCATAGCCGCATGATGAGTTCAAAGTCAATAAGATAGGGTTGACCTTCGGTGTCAAGTAAGAGGTTGGCGAACTTAATGTCGCGATAAGTGACATGGAAAGAATGGAGATATGCGAGGGTGATGGGGGAGACAACGAGAGTAAGGATATGCTAGAGGACCATAACGAAGGACTACACGAGAATACGATGAAGAGGATATGATGAAAAGTAACAAGGTCTCGTAACGGAGTAGAGTTGATCAGGCAACGATAAAGATATTATGAATATTATAAAAAATAATAGTATCGAAGGTAAAAAGTGAAAGAAAAAGAGGGTGTCTTCCATCAAAAACATTAAAAGATGATTTTTTTGTTTTCATAAAAATGATCCTCCAAAATAAGTATATATATATATATATAGTCACTAAATCCAATATGAAATAGAAGAATATAAAGAAGTGCAATGGCTCATCATCCCACCACAATTATTCTATAAAGTTGATCTGTGCATGCAGGCTTTTAGGGTAATGCATTTGCTCATAATAATCTTTTATAGAAGACAAATCCTTGGAAAGGCACTGCCAAATTGAGTCTTTTGGCAGTACCTGCGCCCCTTTTTAATGGTGGCAGTGGCGGTCGCAGTAGCTCACAAAACAAATCCTCCCGAAGGCCTTTCATCTCGCTCCCACCACCCGTTGAAATCCATCTTCCCTCGCCAACGCTCTGTTCTCCGACCCCAAGACCAAATCTTTGACCGCGAGGGATCCTGACCTTGATCTGGTGCCGCTGCGGCTTCATCTGTCCTCGGTAAAGGAGATGGATTTTATTTGGCTGTATCTTGTAGATTCTAATCGACGTTGCTTCAATTTAGATTTTTTTGTTTTTTTGGGTCGTTTCTGGTAATTTTGGAAGGGTTTCTTGTGATCACGTCCTCGAAATCCGCTTTTGATCCGGTTGTCGAAATTCCTTCCTGTTTAAGCTCTATTGTGCGCGGGTTTTAGCCGTCTCTGCTGAGAATCTCATCGAGATCCATCTTTGTTGCTTGCCCTCTGTTGAATTATTATCGACATCCATCTCTTGAATTATCTCGTCTACAGCTACATTGAATACGAAAATCTCTTCGGATTTTTTTTGGAAACCTTGTGATTTTTTCCTCTGTTTCGGTTCCATCCAAAAAATTGCTTCTTTCTGGTTCTTCAGCATCGGATTTTGTGGTACTTTTAGGGTTTCTAAAGCTCTTTTTTCTCCTCAGATCACAAAATTTCTGGACGAGACTCATCTCTTGGTCCTCCTGATCTTGAATTTTAGACTCGATTCGTCGTGTTCTTCAATACAACCATGGGCAGCGCGTTCGGCTGTATGCCTAAAGAGGACTTGAGTGGTGGCGTGGGGTCGCGGAGCAAGCGGGGCCCCAAGTCGAGGTCACAGAGGAAGATGGCGGCGTCCGAGGAGGAGCTGTTGCACCGCCAAGCCCTCGCAATGGCGATTCAGCAGCACCAGTTGTCGCAGCGGTTCGAAGGATCCATGTCGCGGAGGATTGGGTCCACGAGTTCTCGCCGGCGGGACCTCCCTGATTCGATCACTAATGGAAAACAGGTAACTTCGTATCACATTTTTCTTGAGGAATCCAATCTTACGTCTTGTTTCTTTGTAGTTCATGGATGGTTGATCATTTGCATGATACTTGTAGGTCTAAGCACTAAAAGATCCCTTGATAACATGGTAGACAGTGGTTGTGATGTTGTGCATTACTCTAACAGTTTCATCTGGTAGATATAAGAGAATTCAGATGTAAAATTGTGATAGACGACTAAATTGTTTATCATTGTACCTCAATCATGCCATGCTGAGAGACTGGAACATATGATATTGGTAGGATTCATGGGCCACATCCTGCTTTTGCAGATATACCCTGATGACAGTCATAAACAATCTTTCCCATGATGAAGTAGTAACTAGCTACTTATTTGTGCTGCTTTCAAGTCTTTTAGAGCTGTGTGTGCAGCATTAGATCTGGGACAGAAGATGACAAATTTCCAGGTTACACAATGGACTGAGAAAATGTTGTTGACATCCCCCCCCTGGGTCATTAGACTTGGAATCACATTCCTTTTCCCTACCAGCTTCACATGCAATTTGAAGAGAATCCTTCTAGATCTTTCTTCTGATGATAAAAAGAAGATGAAAAAAGGACTTTGAGTCAACACAGAATTGTCCAGTAGTCAATGTTCTTTTTTCTTAAGCTCATAATTTTGCAATATGTTGTGATTTTAAAAGATGATACTTATGTAAGTTATGTAAGACCCTTGCTCTGGGTTTGTGGTCGGCATCTCTATTTTATAGTTGATGCAAAAAACTATTTTCGTCAGGTGAAAATCCTAACAATTTGTTCTCTGTCAACATTTGGAAATTGTATTTTCAGCAACAACTCGTACTTGAGGATCTCGAGACAAGGAAAATTATTCTAGTCCATGGAGAAGGATTTGGAGCTTGGTGTTGGTATAAGATTATCTCTCTTCTAGAGGAAGTAGGACTGAATCCTGTTGCCTTGGATCTCAGAGGTTCTGGGATAGACAACACAGATCCAAACGGCATAACAACCTTAGCAGATTACTCAAAGCCTCTAACTGATTATCTACACAATCTTCTTGATGACGAAAAGGTGAAAGGAACTCTTTCTATGGCTTTTGTTTCTTTGTGTCGTACTGAAATTTTGCTTTTGGTTGGCAAATGTATTTTACAGGTCATACTGGTTGGCCATAGCTGTGGAGGTGCGAGCATATCCTATGCAATGGAATGTTACCCAAAAAAGATATCGAAGGCAGTATTTCTTACTGCGACAATGGTATTGGATGGACAGAAACCTTTTGATGTGTTCTCTGAGGAAGTAAGTAATACTTTTCAAGAAAATCTCAAAATCTTAAAATAATGCACCAAGGATTGCAATTTCGATCCGTACTGGTATACCGAGCCCTACTCGGTATGGTACGTATCGAGCGGTATGGTACGTATCGAGGTGTATCGATGGTACGTTCAAAATTATAAAAAAAACCTCCAAAAATATCTGAAAATAGAAAAAAATAGATTAGGATTTTTAAGTTAGAAATAAATATAAATTTAGTATAATTTTCACAAAAATAATGTAAATTGATCCAATATCGATCAAATTATGATTAAATTATTATTAAAACCACTAATCACAGTATTAAAAAACTTAATTAAACCTATTATACCTTCACAAGCATATAACTCAATCCATAATATGTATGAAATATAAAGATTTAACCTAAGTATCTAATTTTGAAAAAAATCAATATTAAACACACTAATCACAACATTAAAGACTTTAATTACTCCCTAATTAACACCATTCTACCATCAAAAATATATCAAACAACATATTAGACATTAAGTCATACACAACATAAAATAGGTTTAATCATCTCATAAATCAATAAAAATATAGAAAGAGAATACATACCTCTTAATTAGAGTGTTCTTCCTCTTAATCCTCCCAAATTAACCTTCTAAATTTGATCCAATCTATAAATCCTAGCTTTGTTGAGTTTAGGAGAGTGAAAATATGAGAATAAGAAAGATATGTGAGTAAAAAATGTTTGAGAGAGTTTAAGAGATTGAGAGAGTGAAATGAGTTGAAAGGGGAGGGGGAGGAAAGGGTTTAAAAATCTTTTTCTAAGCTTCAAACGATCAAATTAACCGTTTGAAATAGGAAAATCTCAGCCCTTGATGGGTAACGATCAAAATCCAACCGTTACCGACTGGTCGGGTTTCGATCGTTACCGCTCGTACATACCCCATATCGCTCAATACAGGGTCAAGTGACCGGTATCGCTCGGTAGAAAGCAGTTCGTATCCTGTCGAATTGGTACATACCGCCTGTACTGGGGCAATACGCATCAGCACAGCAAACCCTGTCATGCACTTCAATCTTGCATGAATCTTTTTATGCAAAATCCGAGAGCTTTTCAATATTTTGATTAGACTGATAAAGCTCAGACAGAAATTTCATGGACTATTAGTCATGTCAGTTTAAAAATTTAATATTGGTACTCATGTCTCCTCTTCACTGTCTAACTTGTTTATTTGTAACACTTTGCAGCTAGCATCTGCTGATGTTTTCCTGAAAGAGTCACAGTTTCTAGTTTATGGAAATGGAAGTGACAACCCGCCTACAGGTCTCATGTTTGACAAACAACATATCAGAAGTGGTCTATATTTCAACCAGAGTCCTCCCAAGGTTTGAGTGGATGCCATCTCATCTAGTTCCACTTCTCTTTTCTTCAAAAATATGTATATACAGTTGCATTTAACTTTGCATGACTCATGAAGAAACAGATGATCCAATGCACAAGACTTCTGCCAATGTCGAATATAGGAAGGGTTAATGTACAACCTTACCCTATACGCAAAGAGGTTTTCATAATTTGGATCTTGATCACCCAAGATAATAGAGCAACCTTACCATTATAACAAGCTACCCTCTACGACTTGCCTGTTCTAAAATTCTTAATTGATCAATCATACTAAATGCATGTTAAGTTTTGTTCTGTTACTTTTTCCTATGTTTATTTATGTATATCCTGTGGTTTCCAAATATAACAGAATTTTAGCTTATTGTTGGCTGTCACATAATTTTGCAAATGAAAAGACCTTGTCATCAATGAGTTTGACTAGACCAACACTGTGACCGTGATATATGGATGGTTAACAGTAATGAACCAGCTAAATCAGTTGAATATACTGATATATACAAAATAGTCTCCTTTGGAAAAGAGAGGCTGCTATTTTGTTACATTAGGTTATATCTGACAAACTTGTATCTTCCTGTCAACCATGTCTGCAGTGTATAAGCAATCAAATACATATTACATAGCATGCTAGCTTAACTCAAAATTTAGGTCCATAAGCAAGATCTGCATATGTTAGGTATATTAATTCGCATAAGACTCACATCTGAGTAAATTTAGTTGAATGTGCAGTTTTATCAGAGATGTTTCATGCGAGAAACCTGGTTTAACATGACTGTGGTGTTCCTGAAACTTTCTTGACCATTATTCTGGATGTCATTGTCGAATAAATCATCAGCTTTCATTCAGAATGAGTTTCTCTCTTTTAAAGAAACAGTGCATGATTCTTTGCAGGATATTTCTCTGGCCACGGTATCCATGAGAACTATTCCACTGGAACCGATCATGGAGAAGCTCTCCCTCACCCCCGAAAACTATGGCATGGTCCGGCGATTTTTCATCCAGACGCTGGATGACCGCATGCTCTCACCTGACGTCCAAGAGAAGCTCGTCAGGGAGAACCCCCCGCATGGGATCTACAAGATCAAAGGGAGCGACCACTGCCCCTTCTTCTCGAAGCCACAGTCACTGTATAAGATTTTGCTTGAGATTGCACAGCTCCCATAACAAAAAACATACTGTTGTTATTCTACATCAGAAAGAGGAGACATCTTGCCCTGTGGGGGTTGTATAGAAAAAGGCTAGCAATTAGATAGCAGGAAGGTTAGTTTTGGTTACAGGAAATTGGAAGGCAGAGAAGAAGTTATGCATTTGTATTTAGGAAGACAAGATTCTCTTTGAAGTATGACGTCATTAGCAACTTAGCAGTTACGGTTCTTTTGGTCACTTGCCTGTCAGATTATTATTTGGAACACCTGTTCTATCCGATTGTGCATTTTTTATTATGCTGTAGGAACTCTATCCTTCCCTCAATAAGTTCTAGTTGCATTGTAACTTCATAGAGTGGACAGAAGTAATCATCAAAATCTTTGTTGCATGCCACATGTAGCAGTGCACAAACTCTGTAATTGATACTTTTTACTCTCACAAATGAAGTTTACAGAACGATTCTAGTGTTTTGTGTTGTTAGTCAAGGTTGCAGAAGGATAACCATATATACCCACTACAGGATTCTGAAAGAAATGAAAGTATTTGCTGGACTTGAAAGCTTTTCTTTTTTCAGATTTAATCATGCTGTAACTCCTTGAGCCATTCCTTGGTTGATAACTATGTATTTAGCACACACTTTAGTGCATTGTTATTTTTCCATTGATTTAGGAAGAATAGAAACTTTTGATTATATAGAGGCAATGTATGATTCATTCAATATTGGACATGGAAGGATATTTGAGTTGGTTTATAGGAGGACTAGATGAATCCATGATGGCTGGTGGTTTATGGCATGAGCATATTGCTCATACTCAAGATGAACATGTTATCAGCTCTGAAGGTTTTTTTGTCTTGTTCTTGTTGTATGAGCCATTTGCTCATCTTGTGGAGTATATATATAAGGCCTTATTAACTTCCTAAAGAGAACATTAGATTATACACCAATGAAAAAGCATATCCATGTGAAAATTTACTGCATATGAATAAGATTTTGAATCACACCAGATTGTTACTTTGTGGGCATAACTTTGTAATGGGGGATTACCATTGATCCTATATACATTTCGCATCCTGGGTGTGGATGATGCTTCTGTTCACATCAAACTTATCCAGGTAGATACTAGACAATCCAAGCAATCTATAAGGAAACAAACAACAAAAGTTTACTCTGATTCAAACAAACATCACATGTTATAGAAAAGCTGCATTTTGATCACTTCAAAAGCAGAAACATGCAAGGAAGAAGCAACAAAATTACTCGAGAAGAAGCCAAACTTTATAGAACATATGGAGAAGTTCTGATAGCCAGTTGATTTCTGGACCTGATTATGAATATGGTTTAGGATGGTAGAAAAGACAACACAGTTCAAAAAATAACAACAGAGAAATGATTAAAATTACCCAGAAACTGAAAACCTGATCAAAATTCATGTAAAATGAAAAGCGCAAATGAGAAGGTTGGCATAACTAAAGGGAAGAAATAATTGGATGTCTGCTCTCCAGAATAAATGGAAGAAATTTTGATGAATCTTTAATGATATCTAAGACAAGCCTTCATGCTTAGTTGAATCAAGAAGGCAACTGAATTCTGCAGTTCCAGAGGAAACTGGAAAATCTCAACTCGGCACACAGATTGAAAAGCCTGAATATCTTAAGCATTGTCATCATGCTGTAAAATCCTCCCAAGTATAACAGGTTGATTTAAGAAGAAGATACATATGAACAGCACTTGACATATTGCTAACATACACAAGAACGAAGAGCCAATACACAGTACAGAAACAACAAGCATCATAGATTTTCTCCCATGTAGAGCAATGAATAAATATGCTGCATATCCAAAAACTTCTCCACTTCCAAGTGAATCCTCTCATACATATCACTCCCTATGGAAAGTGCATGCTTCCATTCCTGTTCTTTTTGAGAGTATTCAACTGCATATTTACCATGTTTGTGCGACTACCTCAGTTTCCGAAGCAGACATATACTTAGAAACCCATATAACAAAGTGTTTCCGCCTTATTTCCTCGAAAATTCTTGGTACCAAAATCCAACCTCTTCTCTACTACTTTCCTGAAACACAATGGAAACCCTTACACACTGCCAACCAAGCACCAAACAGGACCAAGCAGATAATTACATCGGCAGCTACGACTATCTTCACATGGCGCCACCACAGCCTCCTCCCTGGTTGTTGCGAGTGAGGCCTTGATGAGCTCGAGCTCCTTTGCAGTGACATTGTCCCCATTGTCTGTTGTGCCACATTAATATTTACCGTGCCATCAGCATGGTCTTCAACCACATCATCACTTTGAACTACTTTATCCTTCATCTTCTTCTTCTTCTCGTGATGCTTGATCCCCAGCAATGGCGCCTCTGTAGAAACAGAACCATCACTAGATGCAACCTGCTCAGAATTTTCATCCAATGCAAAGGCAGATTTGGGCATGTTCTCCAATGATGCTATAAGCCTCTGGATGATGGGCACCAACTCGTCGTGAAAACCATTCTTCACCACCTTCTTAAAGCCTTCCTGAATGTGCTCCAGGAACCGAAGAATGGCCAAATTCCCTACACTTGGATCTACGATGGCAAAATACGTGTGCCCGTCGACCATCAAGAACCCGAAGGTCCTGGCTCCCACAGTGTGGAAATACCACTTGTGGAAAGCCGGTGCATTCTCGAGGCAGAGAACGGCCAAGGTCTCAAGCTCGCAGCCATTGCTATTGTGAGAGTACAGAATCTTGTTCCCCTTGGCGACACAGCAGTAGACTGTGTTGTCAATGGAAGAAGAACCCATCATAGAGCTCTCTCCCAATCCTACTTCTATGGATTGGGAATTGGACGAAACAAGCCTCACGGGTTTGGACCGCCGCGAATTCATCAAAGCTCTGAGCTTTAAAAGACTTACGAATTAACATCCGAATCCCTAAAAAAAGAATGCTTTTCCCCCCTCTCCTTATGGGAGATCAGACCGCAGTTCTTTCTAGGGTTTTGGAATTTGCTCACAGGCAAACCAACTCAAATTAATGTATCCAACGCTAGGGTTTCAAAACCTTATCCTTGCACTCCGCCCTCTTCATCAAAGGATCTAAATTCCAAAGACTCCTGATCAAAATTCCAGCTGAATATCTACAAAAAGACGATTTTTTTTTGAACTTGCAACCAATCAAAGTGGAACAGGAACCGATCAGAGAACAACTCAGCGAAGATCTATGCTGATAAAAGAATCAGATCGAGGGGAGTGGTACCGCGAGTGGAGGTGATCGATCCTCTTCTCCTCCACAGCAGCTTCCAAGTAGCAAAGCGAGGCTTTAAGGATTTGATTCCCAGGGCTCGCAGAAGTTGATTAGTAGATAGATGAATCGCATATCTGATACGAAGAACATCAACATAGATTTTTTTCTGTAAATTTTGTGGGAATTAAAGGAGAGATTGGATTAATGGGCAACGATTTCACCGTCCGAGGCGCAAAAAAACTGGTTTATGGAACATTCGTATCGACAGTCGTCTCTTTAATCGTACTGGTTTATGGAAGAGTAGGAATTGGGCTTCTCAGATAGGAATTGAAAGCATAATGGAGTTGGTATAAGAATGTGATGTTTCGTTTTCATTGACTATTTATTTATTAGAGTCTTTATTTTATTCTTCCCTCAATTATCAATTTTGATTAGTGAGACTTTATGATATATATATGTATATAATTAACAGGTCTAAGTGAAAGACTTTACAATTATTGTTATTATATTATTTGACACACAATGAATTTACATTAAGTTAAATTAGTTAGTTAACTATTTAAGCTAATCAGTACTAACCATGATTATTAATCATTATTTATACTAAAATTTGAAATATCTAAATATCATTGATAATTCTGAAATTTTAAAGGACATTAATGATAACTGAAATCTCAACTCTTTGTCTTTTTTGACAATTCAATTATAGTTGATTTAAAAAGATTAGTAAGTAAATTATTGAAATATATATTTTTAAAATTATTATAGTAAAATATCATTGGCAACCTGATTAGCTTGACATAGTCCGGACCCAATGACCAAGGTTATCTAATGTACATCCAAGGTAAAAATATCGAACATTCGATATGTCATATATACGAAGATCGAGGTTGAGATAGATTTTTTTAATTCGATCCCTCCGACATTCAAATTAATAACTCAAGATAGATGAGTATGATCGTAAAACGTGATCTCCTTTTTATTCCACTAAAATTGAGCTCCATTTGGTAAACAAATACATAATGTGAAATATTATATAGAAAGACAGTTCTCAACCACGATCTTCCGTTAGTCTTTTCTTTGTATGGGTGTATAAGAAGACAACCCTCAACCATATGGAGGTCATGCGTCGAATGACGATTGATCGACGATGCTCTCCCTATAAAAAATATTAGATGAAAAATTAATATTAATATTTATATTCTATAAATTTTATTTAAATTTAAATACATGCGCGATATTAATGGTGAGAGATTATTTTCATAATTTACATGACTTTCAATTTAAATAAAGATAAAAACTACAAATAAAAACTTAAATACACTTAATTTAATTAAAATATATACAATTATCTAAAATTTAAAATATAATTTTTTTACATACGATAAAAAAATGGAATATTAATGGTGAGAGATTACAGCGCTTGTTAGAAAATAAACTTTGGATCAAACAGCAAAACCAGCAAAAGAAAAATTCAACAACCAATGATTAAAAGGATTCAAACTACAAAGTCAGTAGCATCTCTCACTGACCACATAATACAGAATACATTTTGCAATGCTGATGACTTGTTGGCTGCATTCAATTCTTACATAAAAGACGAAGGAAACAACTCTCTCAAAGATCCACAGCAAGTAGTTTCTACTCGGTCCTGATCATGAAACACACACTCACCCACAAAGACGACGACCTGCAGAACACAAAAGCTTCATTCAACTTCCGATAGACGCCGGGGAGAAGCTGAAGAGAAGGCGGCGATCGGCTTTCGAGGAGACGAGGCCTCCGGAAATAGTCGTCCCGAAGTCGGCTTGGCTCTGTCGTCGTTCGGTAACAGCAAGCGGAATGCCCAACCAAGGATGTCCGGCGCGAAAACTCGATACAGCAGGAAGACGTCGTACCAGCTCGGATGCTTCGCGTGTGCGTAGCCCCGACACACGTCTGCGACCATCAGCTTCGCAAACTCTTCGACATGCCCTCCTGCGAGGCGCACCTACAAATCAAAATCACACTTCTTTGATGACTTGCACACTTCTAAGTTCGAGTGGTGATCGCTATTCCAAGTTGACTTACCTCTCTGTCTTCCTTCCATTGCATCTCTGCTCCCTCCTCGAGCATAAACCTCCCTCTGCTAACATCGCTACCTATCCACCCATGGGTTGCAATCGTGATGCCTACATCTTCTTCCAGTTCAAATCTTAAGGTCTCGTAGAAATTAACCACGGCCGCCTTTGCTGCCTACAAACCAATGAAGAATCAGACGTACTCAAAAACATTCATCCGTCCATAATATAGCATAAATATAAGAACACTCAGATTCTTTCTGAGCACCGACTGCATAAAGGCTCATCCTTGGCATAGGAAGCCAACTCTCCATGGATGCATCGACAAGGATTCGGCCGCGGGTTTGCCTCAAGTATGGAAGGGCAACATAGGTTGGATAAACATTTCCCCAGAAATTGATATCCTGATACATTCCACAAAACAGTCAGGTTTACTGCTCAACATCTGATTCGTCACAGTAATTTTTATGCAAATTAAACCCAAAAAATTGGAAAATTCAGTATCTTTTTGAAACAAAACTAGTGTGTGCAGCATTGCATTTCAGAATCCTATCGACATAACATACAGATTATGACTGTGATGCTCAAGTGGTGGGACTCTCAAACCTTCAGAACAAATAGTCAGGTAATGGAGCCTTAGTTAGATCGGACCTAGTGATTAACATGGATGTGTAAGAAGAAAGTGAAGCAAGCAGATGTGGCAGTGGTCATACCATCATGTGTGGAAAGACAGCAGGGTCTGTGGCCTCCTCAAAGTAGAAGTTATGCCCCAGGCTTGCAGTGTTGACAAGATGATGCACTGCCAAGTACAAATATTTAGAACAAGTATCATAATTGCGACAAGGTGTAATCCCTATATCGTATCGTATCGTCGATCGACTATTACATACCATCTGAAAGATTCAGAGATATCAAGAAAAATGTATCGTCGATCGACTATTACATACCATCTGAAAGATTCAGAGATATCAAGAAACATGTATCGTCGATCGACTATTACATACCATCTGAAAAGATTCAAAGATATCAAGAAACATGTTCGCCTCGCTAAACTGACTAGGCATCGATAATTTGAAGTTGCTATTTGAATTAAATGATAGAGTTTTCTCAAGCTAACATTAATTGATCATCCCTAGATTATGAGAACAATAAAGCTTTGTGATTCATGGCAGCAGCTAATTGACAGTTGTATTAACAGCAGAGCCTTACATGAACCTATCAAGCCGAGATAGATATGGAACTCAATACAAGTACAGAACAAACATTAGAAAACTGCTGAATAAAATTTGCATTCAAACAATTAATCTTAGAAACAACACAGACTCTCTTGTTATGCAGCACACAAAGCAAAACATGTTCAGAAGATCACTGCATATCGTGCCTAGTCGCAAACATTGATTCACTTGCGTAGCTTGGTCATATGAGTAGTCTTAGAACAGCTAGAGAAGCTTCAATTTATATTGTAACATTCGTAAAAGGATTAGATTGGTGTGTATGGATGACAATGAAGAACAGATAAAATCAGAGTCCAGTCGACGCCAATCAATTACTGAAAACTACAAATTTATGTCATATGAGTAGTCTTAGAACAGCTAGAGAAGCTTCAATTTATATTGTAACATTCATAAAAGGATTAGATTGGTGTGTATGGATGACAATGAAGAACAGATACAATCAGAGTCCAGTCGACGCCAATCAATTACTAAAAACTACAAATTTACGTCATATGAGTAGTCTTAGATCAGCTAGAGAAGCTTCAATTTATATTGTAACATTGGTAAAAGGACTAGATTGGTGTGTGTGGATGACAATGAAGAACAAATTCAATCAGAGTCCAGTCGATGCCAATCGATTACTAAAAACCTACAAATTTACATAACAGAATATCGAAACTTACAATGGCCAAAGTAACTTATGGTGTCACTTATAAATCTTCTGCACTCCTCTTCCTTGACAACATCAGCAGCCATCACAAGTACATGCTTGGCACCCAAGAGTCTAGCGTTCTCCCTGATTCCCCAAAGTCGATTCTCCCTCCTTGCTACCAACACCAAATTTGCTTTTCTTCTTGCATATTCATAAGCTAATTGCTGCATTTGTAATTACTTATGAGAACATTAAATTTAGATCAAAATCTTGCGATGAATGAGTGTTTGTAGTAATGAATGTAACTCAGCAACCATAACCATCAACAAAGAGATAGATTCTGTTAAGTTGCTACATTTAGAGCGGTTTATGTGAATAAATAAATGTTTTTTATTTCCATCATTTCCTTTGCAATCTAAAAATAGAGATACTGTGATCTTAATACACATTAGTCTACTACTTAGCACACACCAAACTTTGACTTGGTTTTATAGTCAACATTAAACAAACAGATAGAAGTTATTTAAAATTGTCGATCGGTTCGTAGGAACAACATAAAATTAACGACATTTTCACCATCTGAAGTTGTGTTCGATGAAATGGCGCAAGTATGCAATTGAGCTAACATAATATACTATCCGAAAAATAACATACAACATTTAGGATACAAATAGCTACCAAAATTTCCAATTTATGGTTCATCGTTCATCTCAATATGCTTTTGCATATATTTCTGTACTTGTTATCGATTCATGAACTGCAAAATGCAGCTTTCTAGATGGACTACTATTGAGACTCGCCTCTCCACCTGCACTGCCCCGCCGCCGATGGCCAGAATCTTACATGCTCGTGTAAACGATTGTATACAAATGCGATACTCAAACTTCCCAGATACCAATTCACAACCTGTAGCGCACTAATGACCTGCTTCTCCATGTAAAGATTCAGTAGATTGACATCCTTCTATGAAAGACATGTCTACAAGTTCTTCTCACGTAGTCGATTGTTCAGTAGTAAATCCAGTAATGCACGAAACCTTTTGAACTCATTCATCACTGGACAATATAAGGATGAATTAAGCAACAGGATGAAAAAGGGGCAAATTCCTACAGTGAGACGGTGGTATGGATCATATGAGCTAAGTTGTAGTGAATTGACTAGTGCACAACCGTACCTCTCCGATGGCCGAGGAGGCTCCAGTGATGAGAACCACCTTGTTCTCCATGTTCTCTCTGTACAAGGTCTTGAAGAACCACTCCAAGGCATGGAGGAAGGAGATGGTTGGCCAGGCGAAGGCCAGAATGATCATGCTTGCCGGTGGCACCACAGAGTTCAGGACGGCGTTCAACAGATCCATCGATCGAACGATAGAGAGAGAATGGCCGATAGGGGTCGTAAGCGTTTTGTTGAGAGGTCCTGTTGAGGAGATCAGAACCCAGAGAGATAGAGAAGGGTTGGCGCATGTGAGCCATGCACACACCACACGTCGTCGTTGCAGGACGAGAGCGCGACGAGTGTGAGGAGCCATTTTGGAGCTTCTCCTGAGGCGTTCTGTTTCGTCTTCTCCTCTCCGAGTGCTGCTCTTCTCGTCATCATACAAATCTCACATCTCAAAGTTCCCACTGCTCCGATGATGTATGTTTCTGTATTCTATTCGGATCATTTTATCGCATCCTAAACTCATCAACAATGGGATTATTTCAATATATATATATATATATATATATATATATATATATATATATATATATATATATATAAAATGAAATTTATAGTATATGTCTCGATATCATAGATACAAAATCCGAACTGTTCTGATCAAAAAAATTGAGAGCAGGATCTGAACCATTTTGATTCACTATTTATATTATTTGAGCCTCCAAAAGATAAAATAATGCACAAGTCTACCAAAGAGTTCCAAAATATAAAGCTGACCAAACGATTGGTTCTGGTTGTATGAAACACGAACAGAGAGATATCATGAGACCAACTCTACTTGTTCAAATCTGAAACAAAGAACAAATTCGTGACAGGCTAAGCATAATAGAACTGAATATTACTGAAGAAGGCATGCATCAGTCAGTCGACGCGACGAGCCTTATCTTCCTGTCCTAACCCAAGTGATTTCTGAGCATTTGCAATTCCCTCTGGATCTGCAAGATGGTCACCAAGATCAAAGAGTTAATTAATTAAAATATCTTTATTTACAGATGCAGAACTATGCATTTGTTGAGATACAAACAAGCCAAGCTAACAAGTGGTTTAAAAGCAGACTTACAGAAATAGGCTTTATTTTATGATACTCAAAATGGGTTGTGAACAATTTGACATAAATTACATAGCATTTTCACGAGTTAGTCGCATTCGCCATCACCTCGAGTATTCCTCACGATTCTAGATGGGGTTGATATAAGCCTCTCTTTGTGAAAGGGAGTGATTCTCCAGTATTAAAGCAGTAGCATTCTCTCACATGAGCCTTCATTGGCAGCACTAATTTTATCATACATACCATGTGGATTTATTATGCCCGAGAAATAGGCTCCAATTTCAGCAAGACAAGGAATTGGTTCATCAATGCTGAAAATCAATTAGAAGCCACTCAAGTATGATGTTTAACCATACAATTCTAGTGATTTATCATGCACAGAAAGTTTCAAAAGTGTAAAGAAAGCATATAACTGTAGAACTGAATTATTTACACGAAAATCAGTTCAAGGTGAAAGCAAATTTTAAGAAAAATAAAGGATTTATACACCAGGAAGAAAAGAACATAACGAATGAAGGCTGCGATCATTGATCTCACAAATAGATTATCAGCAATGACAATGCAAGTCATACAAAGAAGCAGGACCCAAAAGACATGCTATATATATGGACCTGATGAAAGAATTTTACTCAACAAGAAATCTAATGCCAGAGTTTGATTTTTGTCAAAAAGCAGGTGTTGATTGTAAGAAAATAGTAGACTGACACATGCACAATTTAATTTCTGCATCAATTGTTGATCTAGGGATTGGATATAGTTAATAAATTTATGAAGATATCTTCTACTTTCTTCACCATATTCCTATGTTTGCACTAGGATAGCTGATTGTTTAAACTTAATAGGAGTCTACATTGTGATACTAACTGTTCTGAGCATTGTCAAGTGAAACAAGAACTTTATTTCACTTCAGCAAGATGTGGACAGAATTTGAGTAAAGGCCAACCATTGGGCAAAAGAAGGAAAAACAGGTTCAGAAAGTGAAACCAAGATATCATGTGTTCTTTGTTATTCCATTCCTGATGGACATAGCGTGGACAGCCAAGTGAAAACATCTTGACATTATACAACTAGTCTCATTTATAAAGCTAAGGAATTCCTGCAAATGTTTAAGTATCCATCACCAAAAATATCTTAAACTATCAGTTGATTTTCTAAGTTAGAAACTGTCAGACTAGTTTAGTGTAATGTAAAACCACATGCAGCAAAGTGTCTACAGTTATGTGAAACATTAGTCCCTTCTTCCATGATGACTTTGTGGTTACATGATAAGGGAGAAACTAGAAAATTGACTTGATGTGATTCATCACCATTGCAGATATATCAATCTTCTTCTCATGAGGACATCAGTGGCTGTTCCTTGTACAAAGTTTTCACATGTGCCATATGTACCCATTACTATTCAGCTTATGAAACCAATTAATTTGTATAAACAATTTAATATCCAGATATACACAAATGGGCAAAGAACCAAAGTGCAAAGCACAAACAATGACACTAAAGAAAACTATGATAACACCGAACTTCAAAGATGAAGCATTGTATGACAAAGGAATTGATGATGCCAACATTGCAAGAGAATGAAGAGAGAACAAAAAGTGGCTGAGCACATTTAAATGATCCAATTTCTGTTAAAATCTGAAGGCTTACCCCAAAATTGTGTAAATATCCGAGTAAAGAAACTCAGATTTCGGGACACATTATATGCCATAGCAGGAGGAAGAGGTTTCACAAGTGTATCTATGCTGAACACTTGTTGAAGAAACTGCAAATACAATAAGAAAATTTTAAAACCAAACATAATAAAGCCATCAAATGATGAGGAACTTGATTAAATACATGTCTTAGTAATTCAATGCAAAGCATGCAGAAATACAGCAATCTCCAAGACACTCATCTTAGATACAATCAAGTACAAAGAGTAAATGGATGAAAAGATCATTCAGATGCATAAATATCTTCATTCTAGTTTAATACAAGGTTTAGAATCTCGGTTCTATATCGGTTTTACACAAAGTTAAACCAGCATCATACCAGTATACCAACCAATATACCAATTTGTACAGCCCAACATCCCAAAAAAAAAGAATCCTAAATGGTACCAAGTTATATGATCAGGTACTGATCAAGATTTTTTTTTAGTAGTTTAATGGCATTGGCACATAATGAATCTCTAAAATACATATTCTGGATACAGTCAAGTGTAGAACGAAAATAGCTGAAAATCACTTACATGCATAAAGTATCTTCATATTAGTTTGCTACAATCTTTAAAAACTCAGTCCGATATTGATTTTACATTTTATCAGATACCAGATAGTGCACCGACCTATAATGTCCATGATCACTTAAAAAAAAAAAACACTCTTGAATGGTACCAAGTTATATTGTCCATTATCCATCCTTGATTAGACCGTTAAGTACAAATAGATACACATTAGTTTGACTTATATTTGAAACCTCATTTGGACATCTAGTTCCAATAGCAAGAACCAGTATATATATATATATATATATATGTATATATATATATATATATGTATATATATATATATATATGTATATATATATATATATATATATCTGACTAAAAACTTATTGAAATAATAGCATACATATGATTGTCACACTTATGTACTGAACTATCTGTGGAAGTCATCTTAACAAAATCCTGTGAGACATGGTTATGTACAGCTAGTCATTAAGTGCTGTCTGTACATACCACAGCATGTACTTTTGTGTACACAAGAGTCAAGGCCCACAATTCAGACGAATCATATGGATATTTGTGCACAATCCAGATCCATCTAACACTCTATCTCTGCCTGGCCTTATTCAGGCCCATTCCATTTGAAGATCAACACATCAATAAGAAGCTCATGATTAAAACAAGGCAGAAAGAGGTCGCTGAATATTTGCATATGATATTCTAAGACAAACTCAAACATGGATGATCAAATTACTGTATGTTAGAGAGTCTACAAAGCATCAACATAATTGATAAGTCAACATTTGTCGTCATTGGAGCGACCACGCAGGCTCGCAATGAATTGTCTACTTTGGGCGTGCTCATTTGGTTTTGCCCTTTCAGGGCTTGTGAGCCCCAAAAGATGCCTCTGAGGATAAGGGTGACCCGATAGGCTTTATAAGTTATTGGTTTTCCTACTCCTCAACCAATGTGAGATTAAATGTTCTTATCAGTGCTCCCCCCGTGGGGAAGCCACAGGCTCATGACCCTTTTTCTAGTGCCATTTATGGGGAGCACTGATTAAAACATTTAGTCCTACATTGATCGAAGAGTTGGAGAATCAAGGGATTATAAGCCCACCAAATCATCCTTACCCTCATAGATGTCTATTGGGGCTCACGAGCCTCGAAAGTGCAAAACCGTATGGTAATTCCTCGCGAGCCTACGGGGTTGCACCAATGACGACCAAATGTTGACTTATCAGAATGACGCTAAAAGGAGAACCATGAGCCCTTGGCTCCCCTATAGGAGAGCATTGATAAGGACATTTAGTCCCACATTGGTTGAGGAGAATGAAAATTAAGGGTTTATAAGCCCATCGAGCCACCCTTACCCTTAGAGGCACCTTTTGAGGCTCCCTAGCCCCAAAAGGGCAAATTCGTGCAGGCACGTCCAAAGTGGATAATTCCTCACGAGCCTACGGGTCACACCAATACGACCAAATATTGAATTATCAATTATCATCTTATTATGCAGAAGAATATTTATTACTATATGTATTTTTGGAGAAACATACAGTATAATTGAGCTAAGTATCAAAGAACGTCACCAAGAAATGATGGAACTTCTTTTGATCGACAACAAGAGAAAGACCTAATATAGATAAAATTTGAACATTTACATATGAATCTACAAAGCAAAGATCCATGATTGGTGAACACATCAGTGACTGTTAAAATTCTTTAATTTGAAGTTCATGCCAACAGCAAGAAAGACAACTAGTTCTCTCCAGATCTACCGTTAGGGTACTGAATAAATTGCTGCATACCGTGCAAGTCATAGAACAACCAATGAATCCAAATAGATTGACAGTAGCTACCCATTTTGCAAGGCTTATTATGAAATGCACATTATGGCACAGGCATTACAGAAAGAGGAAAATAGATTGGGCCAACAAAAGAAGCGATGTAGCAAAAAACTAAGTTACTACCAATGAGCACACTCATAAGGCTGCATCAAACAAGCGCAATAATGCAGTAAAAAGATGGGAAAAGCAGAAAAAGAAATCAAGATACAAATTCCATAACACATTATTTCATG